TTCCTACAATAATGATCAAAACAGCTATCTAGATTAGTTTATATATTCTATTAAAGTTTTCAATTGTGGTACATAATACAAGAAAACATATCTACATTAAAGAAGGATTAGTACTCTGGAGCTGGAGGGCAGTGGGCCTGCCACTTACCTGGGTGACCTTGAGCAAGCGATTACACTCATCTGTAAAACAGGGACACCTGCAGAGTCAGCCTTGAAGGACAGCTGGCACAGGGCCCAGCACAGGCCACTGTCCCAGTGTCAGCTGACATTAGCACAGATATTACTATACCCATTACTGCTCCCCAGACACATATTTGGGCTCTGAAAATGTGAACTAAAATCTGGGAGGTGTGAAAGCTGGGGACATGACTAATACTCGGTCAACACCCCAGAGAAGACACAACAGACGAGCGGCCATGCACAGAATTCACTTCTCATTCCAGGGTGTGGCAGGTGGGTGATGCTTCAGGAACGTTTCCGAAGGGCATACACTCTACAACATATAATAGTAGCTGTGTTTCTGAGAGTACAGTTAGAAGTTGGTGACACAGATTTTTGATTCCAGACTCAGAAAGGGTAGATTGATTGCTGGGCTGCACTCTTGCCTAACAAACTAGGAGCATCAGTTGAGATATACAATATTTAAATAGCCTAACAAATTAAGTCACTTACAATTCTGTAGAAATATATACAGAGACTGGCACAAATAATGCCCCCTTTTATTACAAAATCTTTTATTACAAAATCGTAAGCATGTAATTCTGTAACATAACAACACCACACTCAAGCACACCATATGACATTTTAGGTGAAATGTTCAAATTAAAACTGTAAATTATTACACCCATATTATTACCTCACTGGCCACACTTCTGCTGGAATACACACACACACACACACACACACTTTTTAGAAAAATTATTTAAAAAAGCAATTAATAACACCGGGACAGTGTTTTTTTAAAAGCAATTTTGGAACCTATTTAACATAAACAAGTCGATATTAATGCCTCACTTTCAAGAAAAAAATAACTATCTCATTTGTGATCCATTTATCCTTAGAATCTATTTTTACACTTGTTGAAACATTGAGTATGTAGTCTTTGCTTAAGAAAGCTACAAGGTAAAATTAGCTGGGGTGGTGGTTGGTGGTGGAATATTTTACAGGACCAAAAAACAACAAACAAAAAAGCAAATTAAATAACATCAAATTTGTTGAATTTCACCTTCAAACATTTAATAAACTTCCTTAGCTCTACAGAATTCTTATGTTAAAATGGTGACTACTCTTTCTCAATATTTTTGTATCTACTACTAATTTATACCCAAACAGTTTCCAAAGAGGATTTGAGGCATCAGTTAAGACCATCTGAAGTGGCAATTCAAAGGCCAACCAGTTCTTTTTTAAAAATCGGAGACCCCCAGTTCTTTTTTTAAAAAATGAGTCCTTGATGAGCAAAAGGTATACAAAGGCGCCTCCCAAATAATTCACCCTCCGAGGGACTCACTGGGTCTAGGACTGAGTGTCGCCTGCTGCTGACACCCCAGGGAGCCCAGCAGGACAGGGCACCCACCTGGGAAGGCACCCTGAATCTGACCAGGCCTCCTCCAGATCCAACTATGAGTTTTTGGGAAAGACAGAGAAACACATCAGATTACATTGCAGAGACGCAATCAATAAAACCCAACTATGGAAATGCTATAGAATAACCCAATCACTTCAAGAAATACACTACAATGAAAACAAACAAAAAAAATAGAAGGGGAATCTACAGGTTAAAAGACACTTAAAAGACCTACTAACCAATCATAATGTATGGACCTTATCTGGATCCTGTTTCCAATAAACTAAGTATCAAAGAAACTATAAAATGTATGGGACAAGAGGAAATTTGAATTGACTAGTCATTTGGTTATTGTTCTGGTCATTAAGAAATTATTGTTTTTCCAAGCTTAAAATGACCTATTTAGAATTTACTTGAAAATAATATGAGGAGGTGAGAGAGGGTATGTGAGTAGCTGAGGTTAGGGATGACACAAGATTGACTAGGAGTTGATAACTGTTGAAGGTGGATACTATTATGTTTTGTGTGTGTGTACATACATGCATATATATTTGAAAGTCCCCATAATAAACAGTTGAAATAAAGACTGATACTGAAGGTAGTTCACATAATCATAAAAGGCCCAGCACAAATGTAATTACTCTCAAAATAAAAAGTAAAAATGTCACCTTCTTAATCAGGAATAAAATATCACTACATATTCAGACCAAAAATAGCTACCCTACTGCCGAAACAATAGTGTTGAGAAAAAAACATTTTGCCTTAAGCACCATAAAAATAACTGCTTTACTCACTATGACTCGCTGCACCTGATACTTTTCTTTATCTATAAAATTAAGTTTATTTTAAATATACAAATTGAGGTGTGCCCTCTAACATTATTTCAGGGGAGGCAAATAAACACATTTTAATCTGTCAACACATTATTTAAAGTCCTGGCATCCTGAAAATGAAATCCTTAAAAAAAAATTCAAAGCTCACCAGAGAATATCATGCCAAATTTTTTAACGTTGAAGGATTCCTCTAAGGGAAATGAACAAACATAAAAACAAAAGAAAAGGTTAAATGAAGTAAAATGTTATCTGGATCAGATATTATTCTTCCGAAACAAATGAAAAGCCCACAGAGCACGTGGAGATGAGCTGAGGGACTCAGGAAGGCCTGCAGTCTGGGGGAGACCTGGACTCAAATTCCACCTCCCAGTTGCTTGCTCTGAAGCAGACTTCTGAGACTTAGGGAGCCCTCACTTCCTGCTCAGTAGAAATGGGTTTCATAGCTGCCACTCACAGTGACAATGAAAGGAGAGCACCTGGACAAACTCGCTCCCCTGGCCCCAGGCTACCTTTCCAGCTCATTGCACCTCTTTCCTCCTGGTTTGCCTGCCCTGGAGATCCACAATCCTGCAACCAAGCTGAATCAGGTCTGTATTTTGCTCGGCTCACAGTATTAATAAAGATGTTTTTAATTAGCTACTGCCAACATTTAAAAATCCAGACAGTGGAGTTAGCAAATTTAGAGTTCAGACTTCTTTTTATAATTTTTTAAATTTATTTTCTCATTTATTAATTTTAGAGAGGAAGGGAGAAAGAAACTTTAATATGTTGTTCCACTGATGGATGTATTCATTGGTTGCTTCTTGTATGTGTCCTGATGGGGGAATCAAACCCTTAACCTTGGCGTATTGGGACGAAGCTCTCACCAGCTGAGCTACCCAGCCAGGACCAGAATTCTTTTTAAGAATTGCAGAGTGAGGTCTGGTTCTGCAGGGTTCCCACCCCTTCTCTCTAAGACCTGGCCCTGCAGGTTGATTCCCCACCCCATACCAGGGCCCCTGCGGGCAGTCCTGAGGGCTGGGGCATGGGCCTGGCTAAGGTCCCCCCTTCACCCTGCCCTCTCCCACTCCCCAGCCTCTCTCTCCCTGACAAATTTCTCAAGGCCCTTCAAGGTCCGACGCTGGCGCCCAGTCATCTCCACATTTCCAGGGCAGAGCCCCTCCACTGCAGCGGGCATCACGCTGCCCTGGCACTGTGTTTGTGCAGGTCTGCCTTCAAAGCTGGATTCTTAGGCTCTCTGGAGGAAGGGACCCTGTTGCTATTGTATTTCGGTCCCCAAGGAGGAGCAGAAAGCCTGACCTAAATAATGCACAATTCCGTAAATGTCTCCTGAACGTGTGAAAGGAAATGAGAGCTAAAACGTTACACAAACGCAAGATTTTTTTTATATCACAGCTTGTTCTGAATGTTACCAAATAAAGGGGTCAAGGACATGAAAACGTTTCACAAAATGAGAACAAGCACCCATCTGCTTCCATGTTTCACAAGTTAGGCAGGAGCCAATAAATGAGCAGATAAAGCAGAGACCACAGGCAGGCAGGCTCATTCATTTGTCCTCTGAACTGATGGTCCTGAGCACTTACTGTGTGCTTCTCGGCATGGGAGGCAGAGTGTTGTGGACAAACCAGACAACTACCTGTCACATCCTAGTATCGGAGACAGAATATAAATAGGCAAATTAAGAGTATCATAGTGAATGCTGGGAAAAAAATGAAACAAAATAAGGATTGAACGACTAAGGGGTGAAAGAGGGTGGTCGAGGAAAGCCTCGAGTTAATGAGACACGTGACCAGAGGAAGACCCAGAAGCAGACAGAGGCGCAAAGAACCCGGAGGCAACTCTGAGCCCCGCAGACGGCAAGTGCGAAGGTCAGAAGGTAAACAAACGGGGCTGCGTGTTCCAGGCAGGTGAGAGGACGCTGGGGACACCGGAGCGGAGCTCCAAGTGAGGGAGCGGAGGGGAGGTGGGCAGGACCCGCTCTGGGCGCTGGGTGAGCGATGACGGGGCACGGGAGGGGCGCGAGGACCGAGGACCCCTGGCGGGTGCGCAGGGGGCTTCTGCCACACTCCGGCCAGGCGGAGGCAGTCTCCCGCCCAGTGTTCCGCCTGGGGCGCCGGCTCACGCCCAGGCGCTTCCCTACACCTTCGTGCAGCTTGACAACAGCCCCGTCCAAAAGGGCAGGCATTTCCCCACTTTCCCTAGGAAAACACCGAGGAACCGCGAGGGTCAGCACCACAGCCAAGGTCGCGGGAACCCGATCCCCAGTCGCGAGCATCCCTGCGCGGGGTGCCGCTGCGTGCCCACAATCCGGAGGGGTGGCGCCCACAGAACCCCTGCAGGTCCGCGAGGCTGGGCCAGGCCCGGGAGCCTGCCCGCAGCCCGGGACTGCTGCCCGCGGGCGGGCGGGCGCGCCTGCGGCAGCCCTGAGGGCAGGGGCGTCGGCCTGGCCGCCAGCGCCCGCGGAGCCCGTCACCCGCAGAGCCCGGTCCCGTGGCGCGTCACCCTCGGCACCCCGGCCGTGCGGCCCTCCCACCGCCCCTCCCCGGCGGGGCGGAGCGCTGCCCGAGCGGCCCCCGCCGGGCCTAGTTCGCCGCCTGGCTCACCTCGCCTGCCGCCGCTGCACCAGAGGAAAGGGAGGAGGGCGGACTGGCGGCGCTGGCGGCTCCTGCCCGGGGCTTGGCCGGCCGCCCCGCCCGCTCCGCCCCGCTGCCGCCGCCGCCGCCGTCGCCGCAGTGGGTGTGAGGGGCGCCCGGGCGCTTCGACCCTTCCGGTCCTGCTCCCTTCCCCGCCGCCGCCGCCGCCGCCGCCGCGGTTCCCACCCTGAGCGATCCGAACGCCGACCAATCAGAGCGCAGGGATCCAGTTGGGCGCGGCCAATAGCACCTGGGGGCGGGCCATGACGGGGCTGCGGGCGGAGCCGGGAACTCGGTGCGGGTTGGGAGGCCGGGGGCACGGCTTTGAGCACCCGCTGAATTAGCGGCGCCCCACGGGTCTCGCGGCGCGGCTGCCGGACGCGGAGCTGGCGGAGGGGCGGACCGACGGGAGGAGAGCGGGGCCTCGAGGCTCAGGTGCAAACTGGCAGCAGCGAGGTGGCCTGGACGGAAGCAGAGCCGGCCCGTTACAGGGGTAGAGCTGGGAGTCTCGCGGTCCGGGTCCCTAGCTTGTGCTGGTCCCCGGGAGGCGGAGGCGGGGAGGCGAAGGAGTAGGGAGCAGAAGTGGGACCTAGGACTTCGCTGCTCGCTGAGGACGGGCTTGTAGGAGTGCGGCCAGAAGTCGGGGAAGGGGAGCGGTTGCCAAGGAAATGGCCCTGGGCAGACGAATGTCTCCTGTCGGCCAGTGACAGAGGGGAGGAGATGAAACGCTGCTGTTCCGGGACAGCGTCAAACCAGTCCCAGACAAGGACAGGGTCGTAACTTGGGGGGAAGGGAGTGCAATGCCGAGGGCCTCCTAGGATCTGGGGCGGTCGACACTGACCTTTTGAGGCACCTCTCGCAGCCCTCCGGCCCCTCGGTCGGGTTCCAGCGGGCCTAGGGTCGTATGAAATTGGGGAGAAACCAGGATGCTGGGTCTTATCTGATCGTTTGGATAAGCACTGAAAAAAAGGGAGGCTAGGAGGCTGGACACATAGTGGGGCGCGGGGAGCGGAGAGCTCCTTGAATGCGGGGGGATGTGGGGCAGGAACAGCTGTCACAGGATGCCAGGGCCTACAAGCTGGCCAGGGTGGCAGCCAAAATGGGGGAAAGGAGCAGGATCCTGCTTACGGGGGAGGTCAGGGGGCAGGAGAGTATGGAAGGTGGCGGCAGAATTTGGGGAGGCCGCAAGCCAGTGACCCAGAGCCAGGCTGTGAGGCTCCAGAGCTTCAGCGGAGGGGAGGGGTGGAGGAAGGGATCCCGCATGCTAGCCATCTTAGACCACCGACCACCGTGGCCACCAGAGGGAGTTTCCTGAAATTGAGTGGCCTCCTTCCTGCTTGAAATTGTAGCTCCGAAGTGTGGCCACCTGGAGGCCTCCTGCCCACAACAGTCCTCCCCTCAGCCAGGTACACCGCAGAAAACAAGGAAGCAAATTTCACCTTCAAGGCTTACTGGTAACTCATGAAGTCTGGCTGTCAGGGGTGTGGTTTTAGGAGGGAGCGATTGCGAGTGCTTCCCCTCCGAATAGGGGACGTACTCCAGCCCTGAGCTTACAGCACTCACCCCATGCAAAGTGAGCACCAAAAATCATTACACACACACCCCTGTACATATGTTGGGTTTTCTGAAAGGATTCCATTTTTTTTGTTGTTGTTCACTGAAATACAGTGAACAGAACTGAGGTGCAAGGACAGGCACTGGTCCGTGGTTGGAAGAGTGTACAGAATTCTGAGGCCAACAAGTGAGCGGATCCTGTTGAAAGTGTGATTTTAATTCGAGGAGGACACATGAGCACAACTGACAGCCTAACTCGCCTGCTAGGCAGGGAGAAGCAGTTGAGGACACCTCAGGCAGCAGGAAGCCCCAGCTGACGCCAGAAAGCCGACAGGAGAATGCTGGGCCAGCAGTTTGAGTGGGAGGGTACTCAGACTCAAAGGTTCAGAAGTGAGGACCTATGTGCTGTGTTCGGGGACCACGCATCACCTGCTCTTGCTGCAGATGGGACAGTTATGAGGACCTGGAGTGGCATGGATGGCACTGAGCTGGCTTTAGCTCCCCAATAGGCCTTGTTTAGCCCAGAGAGGTTTTTAATTGCCAACTCTTAAAAATTGAGAGCCTTCACGTGAAAAATCTCAGTTGTTTTTTTCACTTGCGTAGTTAGAATGGAACATGGGACCTACATTCCCAGAGGGCAGTGGTTAGCTGGAATTCAGTGGCTGCTGCTGTTGAGGAGAAGCTCCCAGTTCACCACAGTCCCCACCACTCCTTATTACCTACTCCTGGCTGCAACTTGACTCATCCCCTACCTGCTGGCCCTTGGGGGCCCTAGCTGTGGAGGTAAAGGACAGTGGTTGAGCAGTGTTAAGAAAGGAAGTGAGTGATGTGGGTTATTTTGGAAAGATTACTATGGCACAGGAAGTTTTAAGTATAAGGCGCACACGAGACCCGTTAGGGGGCTATTGCAAAGGCACTTGTCAGACAAGGTGAGGCTGTAGCAGCAGGTGTCAAGAGAAAGGAACTGATTTTGAAATGATTTCAAGACTTTAGGGAAATGCAAATTAAAATCACAGTGAGCGACCACTACATGACCACTAGTATGACTGTAATGAAAAAGACACTATCGAGTGGTGGTAATGCGGAACCCTTGCAAATCTCATGCACTGTTGGTGGGAAAGCCAAGTGGTATGTCCATTTTGGAAAACTGGCAGTTTCGTAACGTTAAACATACACCAGTTATACCACCCAGCTGTCCTATTTCTGAGAGAAAAGTGTGCAAAGAGTTGTACATGAGTGTTCATGGCAGCTTTATTTAAAACAGTCAAAAACAAAATGACCCGTAGGTCCATACTCCAGTGAGTGGATGAACTGTGGTATAGCTGACCGATGGGCTGTTACCTAGCAACACAAAACACAGGCCTGCTGACAAGAATACAAATGGATAAGTAGCAGAAACATCATGCTAAGTGAAAGCAGCCAACATAAGGCTGCATCGTCTGTAAGTCCATTTATTTCTACGATGCTCTGAAAAAGCAAAATCAGATCAGTGGTTGCCAAAGATGAAGTGAGGGGAGGGAAATGACTACCAGTGGTCACATGGGAATTTTCTGGGATGACAGGTATATTCTATATTCTAATTATGATGGTGGTAGTACTTAGTTGTCAAAACCCAATATTGTATACCTAAAAGGGTGACTTTTAATGTATGTAAATTATACTAAAGCGATGCAAAGAAAAAATCTGTTTCAGAGTGGAATTGTCAAGTGTTCAAGGGAGGGTGAGGGAGGAGGTGGGTCAGGAAGGGCGCCATGCCCCCTGGCTTCATTTCCGGAGTGGGAGCTCCGCCCTTGGCCTGCTCACCCTCCTGCCCAGGCGAAAACCTTTTCGAGCCTGCATTCTAGCTGCCCACCCACTTTCCCCTTTCCCATCACCTTCAGCTCTGTGGTCCTGGCTGTGTATCCTTTGGGACGAAAGTCACCGGCTCTTCCCTCCTCCTGATACCTTACTGTCCCTCCCCTGCCCTTGACTTGGCTCCTCGGTTGCCCAGTGTCAGACAGTGCCCGTCTCCCCACTCACATGGGCGTCCACCAGGGAGAAGAGAGTGCAGGGCAGAGGAAGGGCCCAGTGTTCACGCTCAGAAAGGGGAGCACCAGGGCACTGGGGCTGATAGGTGTCATGGCTGCCGTCTCATCATCACCCTGAACTGGCCTGGGTTCCAGTGGGGCTCTCCACTTAGTCGTGCTCCTCCAGGCAAGGCATTCTCCTCTCCCAGCCTCTGCCTTGTGGGGAGCAGCCTCAGCCTGAGGGGGATGCTGCCAGGGCTCCTGGGGTGGAGGCGCAGACCACACGTGGAGCGGGGTGCCTTCCTGTTGGCCCTCCCCCACCCCTTTCCCCTTGAGTCAGGACTGTCAGTTATGTTATACAAGGCCACACTGCACTTAGACCAATGGGGACAATTACTGGGAGGTTCCTTGCATAGGATGGGGTGGGGTGGGGTGGGGTGGGGTGGGGTGGGGTGGGGCAGGGGTGGAGCTGGCCTCAGGACTGCAGGCTGAAGGACCAGGCTGGGGCCTTGGAAGTCATTGGCAAACTGTCAGTCACATCCTGCTCGTCTGTGTGTTGGTTTCCTTCGCCCTGTGTCTTCAGCTCTTCTGCCACCTGAAGGTGTTGGGCTGACCGTCCCAGATTCCATTTGAAAACTTCCAGAGGAGGGCTCTTGTGGCTCCTGCTGCTGGGCGTGGCAGTCAGGCTCAGGTGAGGATGTGGCAAGAGAATGGGTGGAAACAGTTGGGAAAGGCAGGGGTCTGGGGGTTATTCTTTGGTGATAAAAAAGGGTGTCTGGGCATCTATGAGACAGCCGGATGTTGCAGCGTCTTATTTTTCAGGCAGCTGTCAAGGTGGTAGACATTCAGACTGAACATGCTTACCATCCTTCAAAATAAGGAGATGGTCAGGCTGGAGAAACTGGCGAAAAGAAACTGCCACAACTCTGCAAGTATCTCAGTCTGGGTTTCAAGATGCCCACAGAGGCCATCAAAGACACTTGCATGGGCAAGGCATGTCCCTCCCTGGTCTGAGGGTACGCCCTGTTTGGTGCGGTGACCACAGGAAGGTGCAGAGGACCATGGTCACCTGCCAAGATGACTTCCACTGCATCCAAAAGTACAATCACTTTGAGAAGCACCACAAGAACATGTCAGTCCACCTGTGCCCCTGCCTCGGAGATGCCCAGACATGGTCACAGTGTGTGCATGCCAGCCTCTGAGCCTGACCCTGTGCATCGACATGCCTGAGGTCACCGGGGTGGTTGGCCTCGAGAGGCAACTCCCGGAGGACTGAGACTGGATACCTGCCCACGCCCCTAGACAAACAAAGTTATTTTCCCAGTCAAAAAGACGGAGAGGGAGGGAGAGAGAGAGAGAGAAAGAGAAAGAGAGATTGATTGTGAGTCTGAGCTAGGGGCACAGCCAAGGGCCTGGGGCTGATATGGAAACTGGCAGTGGGACGGCTCCATGGCTGAATGCCGCCCACGGTGGCTCTCAGCCCCTCCTCCAGGCTGCTCACAGAGCACCAGCCCCTGGGCCCTTGCTCTTCTCTGGAAGTCAGACCAGCCCTAAAACCTAAAGGAAAGTCCTGTCTCTCCCCTCCTGACCCTCGGAAAAACCCCAGACTCT